CAGATCCTGCATATATAACGCCTGATGCACAACCAGTAGCTAACTGATGGCTTTTTTCCCTCCTTTGCTGAGCTGCACCATCATGACCCATGTGGTCTACGAATGAGCCAAGAGTCCAGTGTCAGGATTCTTCTTGACAGGTGGGAAGGAAAAAAAAAATCAAGGCTCAACATTATTAAATCACTGGTCTAGATCCCATAGTCAGGAAGTGGTGGGCTTGCAGCCTACTAGGGTCCTGAGTTATGTATTTATTTTATTTGTTGTTTTGAGACAGGGTTTCTCTGTGTAGTTCTGGCTGTCCTGGACCTCACTCTGTAGATCAGGCTGGCCTCAAACTCACAGAGATCCATCCCCTGCTTCTGTCTCCTGAGTGCTGGGATTAAAGGTGTATACCTCTACCACTCGGCAAGTTTTTTTTTTTTTAATTTTTAAAGATTTACTTTTATTATTATTTGTGTGTGTGTGGGGGGTCTTTTACCTGCATATATATCTGTACACCACACACATGCAGTGCCTATGGAGGCCAGGGGAGGGTGTTGGGTCCCCTGGAAATAGTATTATAGACGGTTGCAATCCACCATGTGGATGCTGGGAACTGAATCCAAGTCCTCTGCACAAACAGCTAGTGCTCTTAACCAGTGAGCCACCTCTGCACCTCTCCACCAGTTCCTCCCCTACCACTCCTGGAACAGGAAAAGCCAAGCGGCAAAAGGACTTGTCTGGAGTGGCAGCTCACTCTAGGTAGACTGGGTGCAAAGACCTTTGGCTCATGAACCCTCCTCCACCATCGGCACAGGGGCCAAGGAGTGCTGACACCTAACCCTTGAGGAGCACTTCTTACTTATCAAAGCGCTTTCACAAACATGATCTCACTAACTGAGGCAGGGTGGAGGCAGCTGTCATTATGAGGCCTGGCTGATAAAGGCCTTTAGGGCTCAGCTGAGCCTTCAGTTTTCAGTCCTGTTTCTACCCAGAATCCCACGGCAGGTTTCCCGCCATTCAGAGACCCACCTTATGCCAGGGATAAGGGGCAGATAGCTCCTCCACATCAGCTGTGATACTGTGGACATGGGTTCAGTGGCCACCTACTGAGGCAGAGGAGCAGGGCTCCTCAGCATACCCCCAGCCCCAAGGGGTTCTCTGCCCCAGTCACAGCTCCTTTTAGGGTTCAGATGATCTGAATGTGCTTTCTCATCTGACACCCCAGTAGCCTACAAGGCAGGGTCTCTCCAATGATCCAAATCTATGCTGTGCACAGCAACCTTTCTCCAGATACATGTAACCTCAGGAGTGTGGTGCTGGCTCACTTCACAGTCTCCGCGCCCCCCCCCCCCCCCAGTCACAACCAGGCTGAAGAGGTCCACAAATCACCATTAAAATCCTCACCTCATAATCCTCCACTGTACATCTGGAGAAACTGAGGCAAAGACTACCTTAATGACTCCCATCCTACTGAGCACTCTCATAGATCCGAGTCTGCTGGCTCCAATAGCTTGCTTTCTGATCCTTAAGCTCGGGATCACCTGCCCTTCTGGCCAAAACCCTGCCAGAACTCACTTGGCTCAAACCACTATGCGCACGTGGTGGGGGTCGGGGGTGGGGTGGACAGAAACTGCCTCCCAGCAGCTTTTGAACCCCAAATGCTTGCATCTGGGCCCCTGACTAAATCTGGCCAGGGGAGGGTAATACCCAGCAACTCTCCATAGCTCCCTGAAGATGAGAAGAAGGGTTTCCTTTCCTGCTGCCCGGGGAGGCCAAGGATACTTGGGGGGCAGTTCTGGAAAAACCTTCATTCTTCCGAACAGTGGGGCAGCCGAGGCTGGCTCCTCTTGTGAGGCCGCCTGTGTGCCAAGAGCTGCCTGCCCTGGCAGCGAGAGGCCCTGTCTCAGGGCCATGCTAGCCCGCTGAGGTCAGCCAGCACTCGAGAGTGCTGAGTCCCATCCCTCCCCCAGCCTGTCTCAGCTGGAGAGGAGACTAGGCGCTGCTCCCAACAACGCAGATGGTGAGGTCACTTTGGAAATCCCCTCAGGCAATGGGGCAATACCTAGGCGGGATCCCATGAGTCCCAAGGGACACGCTGGGTTAGGGCTGGCATGGGTGGAGCGGGGCAAGCTGCTTGGAGAACACACAGCTCCCATATGCTGTGTGAGGGGACCCAGGCCCAGAGTCACCAGGCATCAAGTCACCAGAACACAAACATGCACACTGCAGCCCTGTGACGTCTTCCTGATGTCATCTGGTGCCTGTCTGGGACACAGTTTATACAAGTAATGGAGCTGGAGAGATGGCCCAGCAGTTAACAGTACTGGCTGCTCTTCCAGAGGACCAGGGTTCAGTTCCCAGCACCTACATGGCACAACCATCTGTAACTCCAGTTACAGGAGACCTAATACTTTCTGGCTGCAGCAAGCATCAAGCGTATATATGCCGCACAGACATACATGGAGGCAACACACACACACACACACACACACACACACACACACACACACACACACAGAGTAGTAGGCCACTGTCTACAGTTCAGGTCATAGGAAAGTATCAGTGAGCCCAGAGCAGGGCTGAGACCCCAGTGGCCCCCCAGAGCTTGCCTGCTGGGATTTATTCCTACTCTTTCAGGAGCCTCCTCCCCAGGCAGCAGAGTGTATACAAGGTGTGGGGGGGGGGGGGGGAACTGACCAGAATGAGCAAGTGAAGCTGGCGTCACAGGTTTGGAGTAGGTGGCTTTGAGGAAGTCTGGGTGTTCAGCTTTATGCCTTCAGAGACACACACAGTGGGTGTAACTACTACACTCATACTCAGTTGAAAAGGCCTGGTCTTTGGCTAATTTTGAGACAGTGTCTTCCATACAGCCCAGAACGGCCTCAGACTCACTCTGTGGCTGAGGTGACAAACCCTAATTTTTTTTTTCTCCTGCCAATGCTGGATTTCAAGGCACATACCACCAGGTCTGGTGGCACACTGGGCTTTTATGATAAAAAGACAAAAATCATCCAATCAATCTAAGACTCCCTCTCCTCCTTTCTCACTCTACCAGGGCTCCCAAGCAAGAAGTCCAAAAACAGACAGGACAAGGGGAGATGGAAATGGTAGTTATTGCAGAGAAAGAGTCTGGCTGCCTCTTCTGGTCCTGCCCTACCTAGCCAGCAACACCCTCCACCTCCATTCCCAGAAAGCTAGGAGCCCAGGGGCCCAACACAACAGTTTCTGGTCAACCCTTGGGGGCTCTGTAGGATGGCTTTAACAGCCCCCACCCCTGACTGTCACTCGGCAAATGCAGCAGGGCCTGAGCTCACCCTGACCAGGATTCACACCTCCACAGAGGCAATCTGTCCTGTTGGAAGGAAAGAGTGGGGAGCCGCAGGGAATTAGGAGACCCGTTATTCCCTGGATGTTATTTTCCTGGTGTAAATAACCAGAAGAGTTAGTTCTGTGTTCAGAAGGAAAATTCCAGTCGGTCACATGGCATCCCCATCCATGAGGCCTCAGCTTGTCCAGCTTTGGGAAACTATGGGAACAGATGTTGGTCCTGCCCTTCCTCCATCTCCAGGGATACATGAGCTCAAGGGTTACTCTGGCTCACCCTGGGCTTACCCTGTGTGCGAAGCTATCCTGGGTGATACTCCAGGCCTGTGCTGTGAGAAAGCCCGCTCCCAGCCCCTCCTCTACAGGGCCGGGAGTCAGCCAACAAAAGATAGGCTTGTAGCACCAAGGCAGGACACTCGCCAAGGCAAAACCTGCCCTCACACCTCCTTACCTCTCTCTTACCTCACTTAGATTCATCCTGGTTCTTCCCACAGCCCCTGAGGTGGGGAGGGGAATTCACAAGCAGTACCCTGATGGACCAGGCCACCGTATGGTTCCTCAACATTGACTTTTTGGGTGCCCAATTCTGTGCTGTGGGGCTGACCTGTGCATTGTAGGGGGGGGGGGTGTCCTAGGTCTCTTCCATAGCATGCTAGCAACAACACATGCTTCCTTCCTGAATAGTGACAGCCAGAATGTCTCCAGGAATTGCCAAACATCCTTAGTAGACAAAAGCGCCCCTACAAGAGCCACTGCTCAAAACCAAGTTTCATTTTCTTCTCCCTGACCTACAGGGTCACAAGAGCACATGACAGATGCTGAGGACTCTGTTCCACCAGCAGACCACACACACACACACACACACACACACACACACACACACACACACACACACACTGGAACCCCCAGCCTAGCCGGCTGAGAAACAGCTGCCGCCCCACTTGTGGGGCAATTGCTCCTCAGATACACATCACCTTCGCTCTGTTAAGTCCCAACCCTTACAGACTCTCCACTCAGTGTTTCCTGGAGCTGGGTCAAGGCATGGACCTGGGTTCTCTCTGCCCTGGGATGGGGGTAGAGGCCTGGGCCCCACAGATCCTACAGCTCCCTAACCTTTAACCCAAGCAGAAACATCAGCTGGGGGCCCAACTCCCCAAATCCTTCGGTCCATAAACCAGGATTATTCCTGAGTACAATTTCAGAGCTCCGGTCCACTCTGGTGGTGTGACCCTCCCCCCTCCCCACCCCCGCACCTGTTTCCACCTCGGCTAGGCTCCACGCACAAACTTCAGCCCTCGGGCTCTGGGAGTTCACCCGGGAGGAAGGGGAGCAGAGTCTTAAGAAAGTCTAAAAGGGACTTCTGGGTGGAAGGCGGGGCCGCACGTTCCAACACTAGGCAGTGCCCTCTTCCTCCCTGGGCTTTTAAAAACTTGTGCGCAAACCACGCGCCGGGACATTGGTGACCGTGCTCCGGGGAACCCCTTGGCGTCCTGGTCCCGGTGAGGCCAAAAGATCTGCGTGTGGTATCCAGCGGCCCAGCGGGCACAGAGTCCAGCCTCGGCCTCTGGGGCGCTCCCCAGGGCACGCAGCCCCCGACCCTCCCGGCGGCCGTCCCGAGCAGTCCCGGGACTCCCCCTCGGACACCCGCGGCCTAGTGAACCCGAGCTCCGCCGCGTCCAACGCCCCGCGCTCACCTCGCAGAGTCCGCACGACCCGGGAAGCTGCAGCGAGCTGAGCGGGCAGCGCGGCGAGGCGGTGGCTCCACCGAGGCTGGGCTCCGGCGCTCCGCCTCTTCCCTACCTGCGCGAGGGCGCAGGGGCGGGGCCTGGGTGGGCGGGGCCTGTGTGGGGCGGGGCTTCTTGGTGTGTGGGCGGTGCTTCAGAGAGGCGTGGTTGGCCGACTGCTCCTGCCTTGGAGGACCTCCTGGGGTCTGTTCGGCTCTGACTGCTCCTCTTAAGGCCATTCTTAAGCGCTTGCCTAGCATACAGATCTTAGGTTTGATTCCCAGCAATACACACACACACACACACACACACACACACACACACACACACACCAAAACAACCAAACAGAAAACACCCAGTCTCCCCTTCTCTTCCTCATGTGACCTCTGACTCCTTTGACTCCAGGAATCTCTGCTGGCATCCTTTCTAGCTGCCCCAATCACTGCAGCTTCCTCCTCCAGGGAGCCTTTGGTCTCCTCTACCAGCTGTTGCTCCTCTCTCCATTAGAATGACCTCTCCTCAGGCCTGGCTTGCCTTCTAGGCCAGACCAGGTCTTGCTGGAAGCTGGGTCTTGTCCCCTTGAGCACCCCAGCACTAAACATAGAGCAACTGGGAAGGGGACTGAGGTGTGCGGAGCCTTGGTGCCGAGGCTGGCGGTCCGTTCATAGGCATCTCCCTTAGGTCAGAGTGGGTGCTGCTCTGCAGTCAAGGACACAGAGGCTTTCTCCTGGGGCTGGAAGTGGGTTCACAGAGGAGCCTGCAGCAGACAGACGAAGGCTCTCCACATCTTGGAGTAGTGGCCAGGCTCCTGGACAGTGGGTGACCCAGGTCCAGGCCTTAGGCATTCTAGCCTAGTCATAACTGACCAAGTAGCAACTCCCGCCAGGCCTTCTGGCTTCCTTTATGGACTGTAACAAGGAATAACTATAAATGATTCAAGCTAACCGGCTGCTCTCAGGAGCTGGGGGTCCACTGACTACCTCTGTGGCCTTGGACAACTCCCCAAGCCTCGTGGGCCTCAGCTTCCTCCTCTCTGAGTGAGGGGAAGCAACAGGAAGCCACTGCAGGCCCAGTGGCTCTACCTAGCAGCTGCTGTTATTTTTGCTATTATTAGCAGTGTTGAGGGCAGCACCCCCCTCAGTTTGCCCCACAGCCTACATCTCCAGCCACGCTGGGCCCAGAGGAGCTGTGCTGTTCTTCCTCAGCTCCCTCCTGGACCCAGAAGCCCCTCCCTTAGCTCTGCTGCACCCTGAGAAGCAGCCTCTTGGGATGCTCTTACCCACTTCCAGGTCGGGAATCATGCTTCATTTTCCTGGCCCTGGCCCTGGGCTGAGGACAAACTTTATGACCCCCACCATCCCCACCCCACCCCCGCGCACCCCCCCCCCCCCCCCCCCCCCCCGTCCATCACTCCTATGCTCCCACCTAGCAGCACACACAGGATTGGTCCAGCCCCTAACCAAGAGCTGCAGGCAGGAGAAGGGCAGGGGGTACCCCTTCTTCAGGTGCCAAAGACCTGGCTTAGCCTCCCACTGGGGATTTGATGTGGAAACTTGTGGCAGAAAGGGACTAACGTAGGGAAGAACTGTGCCTGTACCTCAGGTCTGGAGTCCCGTCCTCAGCCCTAGTGCCAATGGCCTCAGTCTTCCCCCCTGCTTCCCTGGCCCAGTCAGAGAGCAGGCTTTGGGAAGGTTCACACCAGGGAATGCTGCAGCCCTGCTGGCCTCAGAAGTGAGCCAAGCCTGGCCTCTTGCCTGCTCTTAACCGCCCCCCAGCCCGCCACCTTGGTGTCTGCCACAAACGCAGGTTGGGTGGAGAGTGAAGAGCCAGAAGGGGAAATCATCTTGGCAGCATCACACACCTTCAATCCCAGCCCTCGGAAGGCAGAGGCAGACGGATCTCTGTGAGTTCAAGGCCAGCCTGGGCTACACAAAGAGACCTGGTCTCAAAACCCTCCGAACAAAAATACAAGGAAACCAAACACCAAACAACAAGAAGCACCCCCCCCCCCAAAAAAATAAAAACCAACCAAAAAAAGAAAGGAAGGAAGGAAGGAAGAGACACAGAGGACGGGGAGGAAGAGGGAGTCCATATGACCTTGGACTCCACTGGCCACTGTCTTTGGTTGCTCTATACTTTCGTGTTGGTCCTGAACCACTAAGCCTGGCCCAATGACCCATAGTGCTCTGTGCCCAGATCCGCTCCAAGCTGCATTGGGAGCAGTTCATGTCCCTGGATGTCACCACTGGCCTCACTTCCTGAGTTTCCTCCTGCCTGCTTCCGGTCACACTTGGAGAGCATAAGTAGGAATGAAGGGACCCGCGCACCTCATCCTGTGACCAGACCACTCTGGCCAGCCCAGCCTGTTTTTCATTTATCTACTCAGCTTTTTGAATCTGGAGCAGGAGACATGGTTCAGTGGTTGGAAGCACTTGCTGCTCTTGCCGAGACCCAGGTTCAGTTCCCAGCACCCACATGGGGCCTTGCAGACACCTGTAACTCTCCTTCTGAGAGACCTAATGCTCTCATCCCACCTCCACGCGCATGCACATGATGCATACATACATGCAGGCAAAACACTCATACACATAAAAACAAATACATTAAAAATAATAAAATGAAACGAAATGTGCCTGTATGTGTGTGTGTGTTTGCATGAGTTTATGTGCACCATGTGCTTGGAGGAGGGCATGAGAGCCTGAGTCAGTTCATGTTATCTGGGGTGACAAGTCTCCTCCTCAGGCCCCAGCCATGGAAAGGCATGGCTGGGGCAAAGGCAGATAATAACCCCAAACCTGGGGGTTGTTTCTTTGAAGCAAATGCAGGAAGGCTTTCCTGAGCGCTCAGCATGCTGGGCATCCATGCAGATGGCAGCAAAAGAACCAGCCCTTGCTTGGGGTCAGAGGCACAGGTCAGTGGCTGAGCTTGCCTGGCATGCATGTGAGGTCCAGGGTGTGAGTACCATTCTGTCTACGCCACGGTGGGGAGGGACATGAGGCAGAGGGAGGCATTGGTGCGGTGACTGTGACTGTATCCAGGCACAGTCTGACCCTCCAGCTTCCAGATGCTGCTCCAGCCCCTGGGCTGTGGACGGCCAAGGACAGGGATGACAGGCAGGGTGATGCTCCAGCGACATTGGAGAATTGTGCCATGCTGCCCCAGCTCTGGAGGTACAGAGGGGTCACAGGCTTGGCTGCAGAGAGCCACCTGTCCTGCCTGGAGTGGGAGACTGAGAAACGGGTTGCAGCTGTTAAAGGCAATGAGGCAACTCTGTGTGTTGATATAGAATTATCTCTAAGATACACTGGGGAAAGCAAGAAACAGGATGTATACACTACGTTTTATAACTTAAAACAAAACAAAAAAACAACTTGGACTGGCTCAGCTGTTAAGAGCATCTGACTGCTCTTCCAGAGGTCCTGAATTCAATTTCCAGCAACCACATGGTGACTCACAACCATCTGTAATGAGATCTGATGCCCTCTTCTGGCATGCAGGCATACATGCTGACAGAGCACTCATAAAATAAATGTAAAGGGAGGCTTTTTGGTCCTGCAGCCACTTTTAAAATAATCACTCAGAGGCTTATATTAATTACACACTGTTTGGTCTATGGCTCAGGCTTATTACTAACAAGCTCTTACAACTTAAATTAACCCATTTCTATTAACCTATGTTTTACCATGTATCTTGTGGCTTTACCTGTGTTCTAATACACCTTGCTCCTCCAGCGGCTGGCTGGCAGCTGCCCTGACTCCGCCCTTCTTCATCTCCATCTTTAGTTTGAATGTACTGCCTAACCTTATTCTGCCTTGCCATTGGCCAAACAGATTTACTTATCAACCAATGAGAGCAACACATTCACAGCATACAGAAAGATATGTATACAATCTTATACAGCAATACATAAATAAATAAAATTTAAAAAAAAGAAAAGCCTCTCCAGGCATGGTGGTACACATCTTTTCCCAGCACTTGAGAAGCAGAGACAGATGAATCTCTGAGTTCAAGGCCAGCCTGGTCTACAGAATAAGTTCCAGGACAACCAGGGATACTTAGAGAAACCCTGTTTCAAACAAACAAACAAAAAAACAAACAAGGCCGGGCAGTGGTGGCACACGCCTTTATTCCCAGCACTCAGGAGGCAGAGACCGGCGGATCTTTGTGAGTTCGAGGCCAGCCTGGTCTACAGAGTGAGATCCAGGAGAGGCACAAAGCTACACAGAGAAACCCTGTCTCAAAAAACCAAAAAAACCCCAAACAAACAAACAAACAAACAAAAAAAAACTCAAAAATTTTTTGAGACCATACCTTGCTCTGTAGAGCAGACTGGCCTTGAATTTTGTTTGTTTGTTTATTTTGTCTTGAGACAAAGTCTCATTATGCATTCCTGGCTGGCCTGGAATTTGCTATGTAGTCCAGGCTAGCCTTAAACTCACAGAGATTCTGCTGCCTCTGCCTCCTGTGAGCTGGGACTGAAGTGTGAGTCACCATGCCCACTGGCCTTCAATTCTTTTTTTAAATTTATTATTTTTGTTTTATATGTATGAATATTTTACCCACATGTATATCTATGTACTACATGCATGCCTGGTGCCTGCAGAGGCTAGAAGAGGGTATTGGATCCCCTGGAACTGGAGTTAGAGACAGTTGTGAAGTGTCATGTGGGTGCTGGGAATCGAACCCAGGTCCTCTGGAAGGGCAGTCAGTGCTCTTAACTGCTGAGCCATCTTTCCAGGCCTCTGGCCTTGAATTCTTGCTCCTCATACCTTTCCCTCCCAAGTCCTAGGATGACAGAGTACCACGGTGCCTGGCTACATTTTATTTATTGTTGTTGGGATTTTTTTTTTTTTTTTTTTTTTTTTTGGTGTTTTTAGATAGGGTCCAAGCTGGTCTGGAACTCCCTCTATATCCCAGGCTGGTTCCAAATTCAGCAATCCTCCTGCCTCCACTTCTTGAGTGCTAAGATTATAGGTATGTTCCACAAGACCAAGTGCTCTCAGTTTTAAAATGAGATCCCTGGCCCTCTGTGATCAAGGACAATGCATGCTCCCAGCTAGGGACCTGAGTCCTTGCACGCCTCGAGTCTCC